AGCTTCTAAGAAAGCAAGATAGGAGATACAATAAAGAATAAATAACAAGATTACAACTCAACTACGGATTTACATAAACTCATTAAGAAACTGATCCTTAGTGGAGTTGTCTTCTTAATCTTGACACACCAGTGACTTAAATGCCAAATAAACATTGTTATGCTTGAGAGAGTATCACTAAATGCACAAGTAAGCTATTGTGCCTTGCACCAGGTTGTTATATCGCAAAAGGCATCACAATGGATAGTGATGTCAATTCTTGGTACACGCTTCTTCCCAATGAGAAGTGACTGCTACACTATCTACTGAACAGTCACTTCTGTGCAGTTGCGTTCAAACTGTACAGTTGACTTGTACTTCTATCAGAGAACACTAAGGGACCAGGTCCCAATTGTGTTCCTCTTTTGTAACAGTTGCAAGACAGTCACTTTCTGCTATTACGTTCCAGCTATTCAATTGACATGTATTTCTGTCAGAGAACCCTAAGGGACTAGGTCCCTGTTGTGTTCCTCTTTAGAATAATTGCGGACAGTCACTGACTTGTACTTCTGTCAGAGAACCCTAAGGGACTAGGTGACCAGGTCCCTGTTGTGTTCTTCCTTGTGGTTGTTCATTCATTTGCTGGAGACCAGACTGGACATTATTCATTTAAAATGTATACCACATGGTCAGGTTATCTATCTGGTTCTTCAATAAGTTTGTTAGATCATCAAAACATAAGAAGCGTAAGGCAAAAACATTGAAAACTCATCAGATGGTGAGTTGAGAGACGTAGTAGTGGATAGTGGGAACGAGTAATCATAGTGATCAAGAGTCTTTTGCATCTTTGTCACGGAATTTTAAGAAAGAATATCTTTCATTGGATCAGGCATGGAGACGTGTCCTCTTTGATATGGAAAATTAGCAAAACCACATAGAATGATGGTTCTTAATCGTGGCATTTTATGGAGTAACGGTTCTTAAAAATCACATCTTATAGAAATGGAGTATATGAAAACCAGAAATTTGTTGTCTTGGTTTTCTTAAAATTAAATACTATCTCGAATTTTACATGCATGATACGTTATGCTATTTTGATGATTTGTCAAACAGTCTCGACGAACCAGATAGGAACCAGTTGTGATCAATTTCTTTGGCCTTAATATAATATGTTACTTCATGTTTTAATGTTGGTCAAAGTTTTCGAGGAACCAGATAGGGACCAGATATGATCAGTTCCCTTGGTTGTCGTACAGTCAACTCTACAACTATAAAAGTTGTTGTATAGTACTGACTGACAGTAGTGTAGCAACATAGTTGTAGCTTGATAAGGCCAAACTAAAAGACCATATCTTCTCACATGTTCAGTGATATATATAGAATATGATACAAGGTTTAACCTAACACTTTCAAAGTTAAAAATCGTACTCTCAAGTGCTAGCCGCCACAACCTTCAATGCTCTCTCAAGAACAAAGTTGCTATAACCTTAAGGACCAAATCAGAGATTGAAGATATCTTAAGTCCTTAGGTTTATTGAGCCTTTGTCATTTTTTCTTCACTTGTAATCCTACACTACTTTCAAGAAGTGTCTTTGTGGGACAGATTTCAACCATTGTTGGTTTGGTTTCTTGACTAGAGTTAGTCAAGGTTTGTTGCTTTGTAATAGAGTTATTGCAAATGGTTTACAATAGAGTTATTGTAAGGGGTAATGGATTAAGAGTTTAATTCCTAGATCACAATAGGTTGTAATCTGAAGTTTTCTCTATTTAGTAGAGGTGAAATCCTACTAGGGTAGGTCGTGATTTTTAATCCCTTGAGCAAGGAGTTTTTCACGTAAATATCATCTGTCTTTTACTGTCTACTTATTTACTGTAGGAACAGATAGAGAACCTATTTCCCTATACTGTTTGGTTTTACTTTTTACTTATATACTATGGGAACAGATAGAGAACCCGATTCCCTATACTATTTGGTGGACTCCTAGTTTTTATTAATTGGTATCGGAGTAGGTTCTTTCTAAAAGGTTAACACCTAGAAAGGATCTTCATCATTGCTGCTCCACCAAACTTCGAGGAAGGACAATCGACTTATAGACCCCCAAGATTTAGCGGCCAATACTATGGTTGGTGAAAAATAAAAATGCATAACTTCATCATGGCTGAGGACTCAAAGCTGTGGCACATGATCTGTGATGGTCCTTTTGTTCCCATGAAAATAGTTGGTGAGAGAACAGTTACAGTCCTAAAGATAAGAAAGGAGTACAATGATGCTGATAGAAAGGCTATTGATAAGAACTTCAGGGCAAAGAAGATTCTTGTTTGTGGCATTGGACTAGATGAATGCAACCGCAGCTCAGCTTATCAGTCTACTAAGAAGATCTAGGAAGCTCTTCAAATTGCCCATAAGGGAACCACTCAGATTAATCAGTCTAAATTTGATATGCTTACTATCGAGTATGAGCTTTTCAAGATAAAAGAGGATGAGTCCATTCAGGATATGCACACACGATTCACCTTTAGAGCTTCACTCCCTTGGAGAAGTCATCCCAAGAAACAAGCTGGTCTAGAAAATACTCAATGTTCTACCAGGTTCTTAGGAGAGCAAGGTTAATGCGATCACTAAAGCCAAAGACCTGTAGAATCTGACTATTCATGAGTTTATTGAAAATCTCAAAACCTACGAGATGAAGAGAAAGAAAGATCATGAAAGAAAAGAGCCCAAGAAGGAAAAGAATCTGGTTCTCAAGGCTGCCAACAATGACTCAAGTAATGATGAATTCGACATGGTGTATCTCACTCGAAGATTCCAAAAAATGATTCAAAGAAATGGTGGGATTCCAAAGAAAGGAAGCTCCAGCAGGAATTTCAAAGGAAATGATTATTGTCATAAGTATAGAAAGTCTGGACACTCCATTAAATATTGTCCTCTTCATAAGCAGAATCACTACAAAACCAACATTGATAAGGCAGTTAAGAGTAACCAGGTCTCTAACAGGAAGTTCAAAAAAGAGATGATGCTAATAACATGGTGAAGCAATCTTTGGCTGCCTGGGGAGATTCTTCCAGTGAATCTGGAGGTGAGGATGAGCAAGGAGATACATCTATCATGGTTGCTAACAATGAATCTTCAGAATATGAGTCAATCTTTGTACTCATGGCTAAATCTGATGATGAGGAGGACAAGGAGGAAGGTAAGGTAAGTTTTCTTGATGTTCAAAGAAATTTGAAAACTCACTCTAAGAAAAAATTGATGTCCTTAGCAAATGTGTTAATTGATGCCTATCATAGCCTCATTAATGAGAAAAATGCTTTAATTAGAGAAATTAGTGACGTAGAACAAGAGAGTGATGATATAATAATTTCTATTGTAGGCTTGAAGGAATATGTGGAAGAAGTAACTAGAGAAAATACCTTGTTGAAAAATCACATGAAAAAATGGATGAAAGGAGAAGAAGTGGCTAGTGAGGCTTAACTTGAGCTTGAGAATGAACTTAAGAAAGTTAAAACAAGTCTTGCTGCTGAGCTTGAAAAGAATAGACAACTTTAGGAGGATCTAAAAATGGGTTAAAAATGATCTTGATAAGTCACTCAAATAGACCTGGTCCTATGATGTAATAACGTCTATGTACAAGAGTAATAGCAGAAACATACAAGGAATCAGTTTCCAAAAGGCTAAAGCCTCGTATAATCCCCATAGCAAGTATGTAACTGTGGCTGATAATTGGTTGTGTACTCACTGTGATCAAACTGGTCATTACAAGGATTTTTATAACAACAGCAACAACATACCCAGTATTATCCCACACAGTGGAGTCTGGGGAGGGTAGTGTATACGCAAAACTTACCCATACCTTGTGAGGATACAGTGGTTGTTTCCAATAAATCTAAATTCAGTCTCTACAAAAAAAATTAAGTTTTTATTGAAAAGAAGTATACTGTTAAGGAACCTAGTTCTCTGAGAAGAAAATATGTATTGCCTGTATGGGCAAAAAGAAGTTTGATCCGCTTGTTCTATCATTATAAGAGAACCAAGCAGGCTTGGGTTCCTAAGTCTAATTAGTGATTTTGTGTGCATGTTGGACTTAGAGAAAGCAATCAAAAATGGTACATAGATAGTAGCTGCTCGAATCATATGAGTGAAAGAATGGATGACTTCTCTCACTCAAGGCCTTCCAAGGTGGGAGTGTGTCCTTTAGAAATGACAAGAATGGCTATATTCTTGGTGTTGGCAAAATAGTATCCCATGCAATTGAGAATGTGTACTATGTGAATGGCTTGAAATATAGCTTGTTGAGTGTGTCTCAAATATGTGACAAAGAAAATAAAGTGAAGTTCTTGTCTCAATCTTGCACTATTACCAATCTCAAATCTGGTGAAGTAATGTTGATAGCCAAAAGATTCAAGAACATATATGTTGTGGACTTTGATTCACTGAATGATGGTGATTTAACATGCCTAAGTGTCATTGATGATATTGATTTATGGCATAAACGATTGGGGCATACAAGTTTTTCTTTGCTGAACAAGTTAGTTACGAAGGATCTTGTTCGTGAGATGAAGCAGTCAATATTGCCTGCTACTTGATTAATATGTGCATGATCATGTCCCGTTAGTTAATTCTCATCTCGTGAGGTAGAAGTGTTAAAATTCAATTAAAGAAAAAAAAAAGGAGATAAGAACTTACTTTAAAATCCGATGCAAGCACATGTATCAATTCAGATATTCTTCCTATGCCTTTTCATTTTTTTCGAAAACTAAGGCTTTTAATTTTTTGAAAACAGTAGCATCTAAAATATAAAAACTGTTCATTTGATGTGCAATTTCAAGGATAATTTTAGTTGAAATCAGAGTCGACTCGTAATGGATCATTTTGGTCAATTCTTCTTCATTTCCCCGACATATGCGAGGGAGATTAAGGACCAAATCGGCTTACAATATAACATGAAGGTCTAAAGTGGATATGTTCCGAAGGTGTGGGCTAGAGCTGTCATTTACTCTTAAGATAAAACTAATCTGAAAGAGAGACGAAAATTAGAAATCGGGAGAGAGAGAAATGAACGGCAGAGACGAAGAAAAGGGTTTGGTATGGAAGCTACCGATAGTTAAGTCGAAGCAATTTGGGAAGATTGGACCTGCTTTTGGACTTGGCATAGGCTGTGGTTTTGGTCTCGGAATCGGCCTTATCGGAGGTTCAATTAATTCTTCCCTTTTCCTGACTTTTCATTTTTGAGTAATTAACTCAGAGCTAGTATTTCTTTCTTTCGTTAAGGCACTGGCTTTGGTCCGGGGCTTCCTGGGTTGGAACTGGGTTTTGGGTTCGGTGCTGGGTGTGGAATTGGTCTTGGTTTTGGCTATGCTGTTGGAAGAGGAATTGCTTATGACGACAACCGTAAATACTCTAATGTTGGAAAGCTCTTCAACAGCCATGCCAATTTCCCCAATCAGTAAGTTTTGCCTGCTCAATTTATGTTATTCGTGACCGATGGGAATTCCATTATTTTTATAGTATTTAGTTCCTTCTGAAGTTTCAGGGCCATTTGATAATTAACAGGGTTAAAAGAAGCATAAAGAACAGTCCTTCCTTTTCCCATTGTAGTATCAGTAAAATAATATGTAGCTGTCATATCAAGTGCAACAGCCAACGCGGTAGAACTAGAGTTCGATAAAATAAAATACTCAACTACTTATCTTCTAAGCTTAGATAAATATTTTAGATTACTTCTTACTCTCCCACTGTACCTCAATGAGATGTTTTAACCAACATTCTTGTTTTTATGTGGCCTATAAGGACTTTCAGTGTAGTGTTGGGCTTATCTTCCTGGATTCTAATCTTGCATGTTGCTCTGCAATTCTAGACTTGACCTAATGTTGACCTTGTCATCAAGTGGAATGTTTCTGTTGGCTATACAAGTTGATCACTGGGGAAAATTTCCTTTTAATTCTGCATAGAAAGCAGAACGTGTTCATCGTGATGCGCCTGCAATATTTTCAGTGAGGCAGAAGTTGCGCAATTCCAAACAAAAGAAGGCTGAGAAGAGGGACACAAACAAACTGGTCTCCTCCTACACTTAGTGTCTTTTTTATTGTTAGCATTCAACAGCCAAATTTCTCTCGTTAAATACGAACTGTTGGAACTATCCTTGATGGGTGTCTCTCTTGGCTCTAGCTAATTGTGTCCTCTTTGGAATTGAGTTTGGAACCAGGGGATCAAATTGAGGGTGGTTTACCAATATACATAACATGATATGTGCTTTGTTTCTAACCATTAAGGTGTATTTCCTAATGCCATATTCGTAATATTGTCAGGGATGAGGTAGGGGAACTCATCGATGAGCTTGTTGTGAACACCAAAAAGCTAATCAAAGCAACTACACAAGAGTTGGACAAGTGGAGAAGGTCCTAATTTGTGCCGTTCCCTTTTGTACACAGCTCACTCCTTGTAATGTACATGCTAATTCTTAAGTAGCTTAGCTCCTTGGAGCGAAGGTGTCCCTGGTCTAGAAGTATATTATGTAAATCTTGGGGTTTGCTCCCTTTCAAGGTCTCAAGTTCGAAACCAATTGGGTGCAAACAATTTCTGAGGGCCATCGGACTGGGTAAAACCTGAATTAACCGTGGTGCACTTGCGAGAAACTCTTTGCCTAGGGCCTGTGCACCCCCGGGATTAGTCCGGGCTCTTAGAGACTCG